TGGAGTCGCACTGTGCTTCATAGGGTTTTCAGGGCTGGTGTTTGGCAGTGGATTGTTAAGCCTTTCTTTCGAGGCATCTTGGAATCAGACTGCTAGCCTTTTTGTTAGCAGCTGAATGTACCACCTGTACCAGCCTCCTGAGGCAGCCGTAGTGGCTGTGTGTGCAGGATGATGATGCTCTGGGTTGTAATACAGTTTGCTTTGTATATGCTTATTAGGAAGGTGAGCAAAATATTGCAATTGGTTCTAATTCACAGTTATTGTTGTAGTTGTGTACCGTCGAGTCAGAACTGACCCATAGCTGACCCTCTGGCAGGTTTTCAGAGGCAGTTAATCTCACGGGAGATTTCCCATCCTTCTCCCACGGAGCAGCTGGTGGCTCCAAACGCATGCCTTCAGGATTGCAGCTTCTTGCCACTTGGCCACCAGAGCTCCCTATAATTCATTCACATAGTTTACCTGTACTGTATGTGCCAGATACTATTCTAAATACCACATGGTTTATTATTTAATCATTATGTTAACTGTAAGTAATTCTGATATGATTATCTGGTGGCCTGGAGGGTAAAGAGCCATGCTGCCAACCCAAAGGCAGGTGGTTCGAATCCACCAGCTGCTCTGGGGATAAAGATAAGCAATCTCCTCCCATGTTACAGCCTCTGAAAACCTTCTGAAGCATCACCTATGAGTCAGTTCTGACTCTGTATCACGTAACAACAGAAAGATATTGTAGACCAAAAATGTGAGGCAGCCAAAGATTAGGTTGCCTGCCCACAGTCACCTGTTTCTGAATGGCAGGGCCAGTCTAGTGCCAGAATCAATGTGTATAATCAGATTTGTTAATGTTGACTAATTATCCTAAGAGGACATTGGCCTGTTTGGGTTTAAGTTAAACACTTAAGGAGATACTTGATTTAGAGGTTAGGGTATTATAATACTCTAAACAAGAGACTTTAAAATTAGATTCTGCCTCTTAATAATAATAATAATCTTACTTTGCACTTCTATTTTGTTATGCAACATGAGTTTCTTAATCACAAGTTTATGAAAAACTGGATGAAAGGGGAAAGATTGTCATTTTTGTGGTGAACACTTGTGACTTCTCTTTTGTGAAAGTCTTTGTTCCAAGTTTTCTATTTTCCTTAAACAAAACAAGATAATTACAGATAGCCATCTCAGATTGCCATAATTAGCAGAAATGTTATAGTGCTACAGCTAAATTGTCTGTTCAATAGATGATCTAAGTTTTAAAATTCTACTCATGGCACAAAGAATGTTAGTTACAAGAAAATAGTTTTAAATGGAAAACTTTTAAGACCAGGCTATGGAAATACACAGTTAAGCTACATCGTTTACTGTATTAACATCAATTCTTTTGCCATGTTGCGTTGTTGATTGCTGTCCCGTTGAGCACAGCTCATAGCAACCATATGAACAAAAGGCCTGAAGTCTTTAACAATCTTCACATATCAAAGTTCATAGTTTCCCGAGGCATGTTGTTTAAGGAAGTGGATGCCACTTCTGTTTCCACTCTCTTGCCTTAAAATATTTATGCAATTCTAAGAAAGTTGGTAGGAAATTGCTATGATGGTTTCCTTCAGTTCAGCCCCAGTGTGCAGTGTGGACCTGTGGTCTGGTGGGGTCATGGAGAGTGACCTTACAGAAGCAGACCACCAGGCCTGTCTCAGCAGGTGACCTGCCTGCCTTTCTGTGAGTGCTCAGGTGCTGAATCAGGAACCCCAAGGACTGCTCCCTCACACTCCTTCCACGTTTCCTCTTCACCAGTCATTCCCTATCATGGTCTAGAAAAACCAGGAAAATGGCGCTTACAGAAATGGTCTTTTGAAACATCACTACATGAGATTTAAAGAGTGCTTATTTCAGGAAAAGGAGCTCCAGGGATACAGTCCCTGGCGAGCTGAGCTGCTAGCCCAAAGGCTGAATCGCCCTGGTGGTCCAAATTTGCCGGCAGCTCCTCTGGAGAAAGATGGACAGTGTCTTACTGAGAAGTTCATGGCCACAGGAACCCATGGGAGGGTCAGTCTGAGTCGTTCCAAGGTTTGAGGCTTCAAAAGTTTTATTTCAGCAAAGTCAAGCAGATATTCTTCTAAGCAGATATTCTTCTGATCCGTCACTAGCAAAGAGTCTTTGAAGTCATCACACTGTTATTTGCTGGTGGCATGGATTTCTCAGATGAGCAAGACCTTGGGAAGCAAGCGCTCTTCACCCTTCATTCTGCAGAACCTTTGAATCAACATTCACTTTGGGCATGCCACCAGAGGCAGCTATTTAAAGAATGTGTGTGAATGTGGGGTGCCTTGTTTGGGAGAAAACCAGGAATGAGTCAAATGGAGTTGACACAGTGATTCACGTAGACTTCGTAACCCACAAAGCAGGCTGGAGTCGGCAGGGCTGCGTGAGAAACTGTCACTGCCCCTTTGACAAGCATTGCCTGTAGCGAGTGCAAGTGCTCCCTCAGGCGAGCCAAGAAGAGCGTGGTACCCCAGATACTTACAAGTGCAAATGAAAATCACTAAGGTAATAAGTTCAGTACTTTCCATAAGTAGTAAACTATGCATATTATTTTATTTGTAACCCCATGTGTTAAGAATGGGACATTGTTAAAGTAACAATCATTTAAAAAGTAACAACCAATGAGTCAATATTTAATTTGGTATTGAAAGTGAATACTTAAAAATAATATGGAAGCAGTGTCTAAAGTAACTAAGATACTTGATAACAATAGTTAATTCAGGCTCCACTGAATAGAAATTTGATAACATGGGCCAGCCTAAAATGTACATTTAGAGAGAGAGTAAGGGTATAAATTAGCAAAGTGTTAAGTAAGACTTCAGGAAGACCCTAAATTTCTTTTTTAGAAACTCTGAAATTTATTCTCTATATGCCAGTAACGGCCAACTGTTAATTTACTTTAAGCTCATTCATACATGACCTCATTTGAAGCAATGCATTTGACCCGTTAGCAGAATTCACCTTAATATTTTAAAATCTTTTATTTCCCAGATTTTTCACTAGTTTAAGCGAGTCATTTCAGCCTTTAATGAAGGTATGCCTCCTTCAAGGCAGCTTTTCTCAACCTGCTTATGAACAGAAAAGAAATCTTTGGTTGTTTTATTTTAAAGTGGCAGGAAGAATTTTGCAAAAAAGAAAACCAACCCCAAAACAAAACCAAAAATATGGATGAACCAAAGCAGTGACAACGTTTATAAGCAATGAACACTCCAAACCCCATCCAGGTCGATGGAGCACCTAAGGCACCTCCGGTTCAGGTGGGACAATCATCTCTGCGTCGAAGTCGAGTTATCTATGTACATGAGTTTTTTTACCATCATAAGAATGTGAAGCTGAAAAAGTAACGTCCTGCAGTGGTTATTGCTGATAAGAAAGGAGCATCATTAGGGTTGATTGCTGGGAGAGCTGTAGGGATGATCTGTTCTGCCCCCCTGACGTTTTATAGATGAGGAAACCCAGGCCCGATCAAGAAACTTGCTCACGCCTGTGTACTTCAGGCAGGGCAGGACAAGACTCTCCTCAGTTAGTAAACCAAGGGTGAAGCCTTTCAGAGATGTGAGCTGGAAGGGAAGGTTTAAAAAAAAAATCCCCATCAAATCCCCAAAGGCAAGTTGGAAATGTATAATACTTTACTGTCTTCTTATTTCCTTTATGCCATGTATTAGACAACTTAGCTAATAGGCTAATTGATTTACACAATTCCTTTCAATTCCATCTAAAAACAAACAAGCAGGTTACATAAGTTTCCATTTGAGCATACATAAGGCCATGTGACGTAATATGAACCACCACTTCTCGGGAGAAAGAAGACATCCGATACCCCGTTCAGCGAGAAGGCTCCTGGCTTGTGGTCCAGCAGACTCTCCATTCTTCAGTGAGGAAGATGATGCTTGACGTTTAAGAAACCTCTACAAAGCTGGCATATAGCAAGACAGTACATCCTAGATTTGTGACTGATGAGCACTTAAGGCTGTCATTTTCAAGTATAAAAGTTTAGTGTTCCATTACCCAGTCTGTGCAAGGGATACAGCTATAAGCTCAAGTAATGGGAACTAACAGAAGCCCACCGCAGACATGAGAAATCAGAATTTGGACAACAGCAAGTTTAAATGGAGGAAAGGCTTGGGGAGGAAAAATAGGGGTTGACTATGCTTCTCTGTAAAAAGGCATAAATTGTTCACACTCAAGTTTGTCTGACACACTTTTCTGTTGTATGGTGTTTGGAATAAGGCAGATCCACAGGAGACCCCAGAAGCCTACTTTAGGTGACAGACCTCGTCATGCATTTAGGTGTTTCTTCTCTAACACAATTCTCAGGCTTGAACCACAGAGGAAGACGACTCCACATGGCACCTACAGATCAGGCCCATGTCACGAAGGGACAGAAAGACTGTCTCCATCGTTTTAAGTAGAGCCTTTCACCTAGAGACTGACATGCACTGCTCATGGAAAAAAGAAACATTATTTACTTCTGGCTTAATCTTGTAAATTGTCTTTTGGCTGAAGAAAAAGGGGTGTTTGGATATCAGTATGTTAACTTACGCTCTGGAGTAGCCCCATAACTTCTGGTACAGTTAACAACATTCCTATCGGAAAGGTGACCTCAGTCCTGTCATGGAGGCAACTGTGTTGCTCAAACTCCATGGAACATGCCCGAGGTCTGGCTCTTCCCCCTCTGAGAGTGTCATGTATTCTGGTCAGTCTGCCTTTCTCCTGTCATTTGATGTCCACAGCCAATGTGAGAATTTAAAAAAAAACAAATTGCCATCTAGTCCAGAGAACTGAACTGAGTCCAAGGTTAGGGCAAAGTGCATCTCATACTTTTAATGTATCATTTTAGCCTGGACCTCATGCAGTTTTGGGGAGCCTCAAACTAAATCTACAGTTGCCAGAAGCCTCGTCACCATTTAATGCACGCTAACTAAAATGTGTGCGGTTTTAGTGTTCACGGTAAATGCAGGTATTAGACTTTTGGCATTCTTGAAGAAAGCACATTATGCTTTAATATAGGAGTATGTAGGTTACACTTCGCTTGTGCTCAACTAATAACAAACCACCTGCCCTTTCCTAATCTCTTACATCCTCCCCTCAGGTGTGGCCCATCTCTTGCACGCTTGGAGCGACCTTTGGCTACGTGGCCGGCCTTGCCATTTCACCCCTCTGGATATACTGGAATAGAAAGCAACTTACATACAAGAATAATTAATTGGAGGAAAAGGAGGAGACATTTCTTTGTGCAGATTCCATAAAGACTGCAGAAATGTGCGTGGTCAGAGCCGAGCGGTCCGTTTTACAGCACTGGCTTTCGTTTTGTTTGTAGATACAACAGGATGTGATTGTAGCTTTTTAAACTATGAAACCCCTGAGAGATTGTACCTTCTATGGAAATAAAGTATTTATAATAGATTGTGGCTTCAGATGCTCCTGGTTGCGTCTTGGACCTTCGAGAAACATTCATAATGAACGCTATAGAATTCTGAGGGCAGTTTGCTTTCTGTCTTTCAAGTTTTAAACTGCTTCCTCATGAGAGCTCTGGATACAGCTGTACCATTCCGTGTGCTTTCTGAGAGAAAGAGACCTTTTCCTTGGCCACTGAGGACATTTCTCACGTAATCAAGCAACAGTTTATACATCTTGACCCTATTCTTTTTTTAACTGTGTGTTTCTTTGGAGTTAAAATGGCTATGATAGCCTCATCAAAAACAGTCTTCAGTCCCTTCTGGGTTAAAGCTGAACATTCCACATAGCAGCATGCTCCTATCTGGGAAGAAGGGGGAAAATATTAAAAATCTATAAAATGTTAACATAATCAATCTGATACCATATATTAAAAAAAATTACAGAATGCAAAAAGAATAAAGTCACTGTCCAAATTAAAAATACGCAGAGTGCTAACTTAGAACTAGTAATGCATACTCTTCCAAATTATTTCTATGAAAAGCCCTTTATTTGTCAAAAGAACAAAACTGTCTTGGGGAAACCAGCATGCTCCTTGGCGGCAAGGGTGGTGGAACTTTTTCTCACGTCCTTTGGTCAGGGGGTCAGTACTTAGCAAAGCATGTCATGCTGGGGAAGGTCAACAGAAGAATGGAAGATCCTCAACCAAATGGATTGTGTGACAGTGGCTGTAACAATAGGCTTGAAGGACAGCAGAGATGATGACGGTGGAGGACAGGACAAGGTTCAGATCTGCACAGGGTCACTGTCACAGGTGACTCAGTCGCACCTAACAACAGCAACAACAACAACACATGCGAAGCACTGTTTTAGGTCCTGGAGATGCGTCGGTGACTCAAGGAGCAGACCCTGCTGTGGGGAGCTATTTTCTTAACATTCCACTGGGAGAGAAACACAGGTACGGAACATGGTGGCCAATGGCACGGAGAAGCAAGTGAGAGGGAGTGCCAGGGGTGAGGACAGTGCTTGTGACCGAAGGCTTCTAAATGAGAGTGTGTGAGCAAAAAGGGGCATGGGAAGAGTTCCCGGAGAACCTCAGATGAAAAGATCCTAATACAAGGACATGCATGAAGCATTCATGGAACAGTCAGAAGCCAAAGTGGCAGAAGAGCCTGAGAAGAGATGTGAACAAGTGAGTGAGAGGCCTTCAAGTTCCCGAAGGAGTTCAGCTTTCACTCTTGAGCATGGACCTGGTCTTTCATTCAGAATTCCCTGAGCACTACTGTTTCCCAACATGAGGATACAGGAAGCAAAATTTAAGTTTCTACCAACATTTAAGAAGCTTTCATTTCCAGTGATGTCCAACCAGTGAGCAAGTAAGAACATTAGAAAGTTACATTAAAGGTACAGTAGAAAGGAACATTATAGGGTATGGAGAAAATATTGGCAAGGTGGATATTAGGGAGCCAGGGGCAAGATCAGCCAGCATCACATCAGGAAAGTGCTATTTGAGCAGACCTGATATGAATAAGGACCACATGGGGAAGAAGAGCCCAGGCAGAAGCAGCAGCAAAGGTTCAAAGACCCTGGAGAAGAGGAGTTTAGGGGAACAGCAAGGAAGCTAGTGTGCCCAGAGTACAGTGAGGAGGGGATGAGAAAGCTGAAGTCAGAGGAACCAGAGGTCAGCTCAGTAGAGCACACAGTCAGGACCTGGCCTTGGCTCTAAGTGACGAAGGACCAGTGGAAGTCCTCCTGCTCTGGGAGATAAAAATGGACACTCTCCTCCCATGTGATTTACAGCCTCTGAAAACCTGTTTGAGGGTCAGCTATGAGTCAGTTTCTGACAACAATAGCAAACAGTATTTTCTATGTATTTATAAAAGGACTAGAAGAAAGTTCAGTACTTTTTTTTTTTCAAACCTAAACCTAATTCTTTTATTTTCATCTCAGATTTAAACTGGCACTGTGATCTTAAGGGTTTATTGTTCAGAACGCCTTCCCTAGCCATTGACTGACTTTGCCATGTGGATGGGCAGGTGCATGCAAATAGGCTGTGTTAGCCTATCCACAAGGGGATTGGCTGGTCTCGTTAAAATTAACAGATCCAGCAGCAAAATGTGAGGTCCTTATTACCAGCAGAGAAGAAGTAAGAAAATGCAACATGTCTTTTGATGCTGAAGATTCTTGGACGAGTCAAACCAGGACCTGTGGGAGCAGCAGCCGTAGCAGCCCAGCCGAGAACCAGAGACCTGACCTGACACAGAATGGACCGTGGGTCTGCCGCCACATGGAACCAGAACTAGGAGCTTTCACCCACATTTGTTAGACAACTAGAGGAGGAGGATCCGTAACTGGTGGCACTGAGAGCTTTGTAACACCGGCCTCAAGCTGTGAACCTCAAGGCTGAGGTGCCTATGAGCACATTTCAGAAGCTGTCCTGACTAAGTAGTTGTATTCTGCTACTAACCTGATTTCTAGCCTTTCGACTTCCCTAATAGGATTCTGTGTGTTCTGTGAGCTATCGCAACAGACTTTAGACCCAGTAGAGTAATAAGATTGGTGTTGGGATGAGTAGAGAGAGGTACAAGATTGTAGGGGACATTTCTGACCTTAGGGAAATTTGTTTTGTGGTGTTGATGTTGTTGACAGGGACAGTTCCGCTTCGTGGAGTTGGTAAAGGTCAGATATGGCCATCGCCACGCAGCCCTTCCTCTTTTTACAGGCACTCTCTACCCTTGCCATTATCTGACTTCATGAGTGCAACGTGAAGACAGAGCTGTCAGAGGTTTATGTGATTAATTAAGAAAGTGGTTGAGTGTCATGATTGTTTTCTGATGTCTTTTTGTCTATATAACTTTTGGGGGGCAATACCCTAAAAAGAGTTAGTATTCATGGGTGGAACTGTGTTCCCCTAAAACTTGCTGTGAGTTTACAGAATAAGGGTGCATCTCATCTAAGCCATGCTGTTTCAGTTGCTTCCTATGCATCTGAAAGCTAAGCAAAGAAGAAAGATGACAGAAGAAGAATCAAAGCCTTTGAACTGTGATGTTGGGGAAAAGGGTATATATGTCCCATGTACAGCCCAAAGAACAAACAAATCTGTCTTGTAGGAGGTGCAACCAAGGTGCTCCTAAGAGGCAATGATGGTGAAACTTCATCTCACATACTTAGAGCATGTAGTTAAAAGGAACCAAGTTCTTGGAAAAAGACATAATGCTGGGGGAAGATGAATGGTCATGGAAAGAGAGGAAGACCATCAGCAAGATGGGCTGACACAGTGACTGTAATGACAGGCTTGAAGATATAAAAGGTGGTGAGGATGGCGAATTGACGCCTTTGAGCTGTGGTGTTGGAGAAGAGCACTGAACATCCCACGGACGGCCAAGAATACAAACAGGTATGTCTTGAAGACGGTGTAGCTGGAGTGCTTTCTGGAGGCAAGAATGATGAGGCTTTGCCTCACATACTTTGAGCAAGTTGTTAGGAGGGGCTATTCCTTGGAGAGGGACATGATGCTGGGAAGGGTGGAAGGTCAGCCAAGGAGAGGAAGACCTTAACCAGGTGGACTGACACAGTGACTGCTGCAGTGGACTCTTGTGTATCAGAAAGTGTGAGGACGGTGCAATAAAGAACAGAGTTCAGATCTTTTGTTCATAGGGTTGCTATGGGTTGTATTTAACGGCACCCAACAACAACGTAACTATAGATCTCATCCTGTTTACAGATAGTGTTTTATTTGGTTTGTTATTTAGATCAAAAAAAGTTGCCCTGCAATCCCAGAGGAGGGTGGTTCGAATCCACCAGATGCTCTGCTGGAGAAGGAGGGACAGTCTCCTCCTGTACCTGTCAGATCTGATTTGACGGTACACACTAACTCTAATGGCTTGAGTTTGTATAGTTTGGTTTTTGTTTGTTTGTTTTTACAGAGCAGATAGGCACATACACACACGCACAGGCAGCACTTAGGCCATGTGAGGATCACTACGGAAGCACTCTGGTATATCCAGCTTGATTTGAACTGTTAGCCTCCAGAACTTTTCAGAGAATAAATTCTGGCTCTTTAATGTCACTCATGTCTTACGGCAGCACTGGGCGGTGAAAATGGGAGTCCAGCTCAGGTGTGTTAAGAGTCTCCATCCACCTCTGCCTTTTTACCTGTGGAAGAACCTTGGGAAAGCTATTCCTCCTGGAAAACGGGAGAAATGGTGCCATCTCACAGCCTCTGGAGTTTCAGACAAAAGGGGCTCATAAAGTGCAAAGGACAGGGCCTGGCTTACAGTCAACACACAAGAAACACATCTTAAGCTCCTCTTACTATCCGGGCCTCTGTCCATTCAGGTCTAGATTCTGTAGACAATTCCATTTACCTCTTTTGCTAGTTTCTGTCCTTGTTCCACACAGATAGGTTTTTCCTTCATATCGTTCAGTCTTGCTAAAGTTTTGGGGTCATCTCGGAGATCAATCTAATAATGAAGAAAGGGCAATTATGTTTCATAAGGTTATTAAAAAGAATGCTTTTAAAAAGAATGCACAGTCCCCTTTCATCCCTCATATTTATAATAAAAAAAGAGTAAATGAAAACTCTGCTTTCCTTTGGCACTACTTTCCCCAAAATTACTTTGGTACTTTTTGTTATGTGATGTCCAGTCAATTCCAACTCATTGGCAGCCCCACACCTTTCTATCCTCTGGGGGAAAAGAGCTGTTCCGTGGGGTTTCAGGGCTGTGAACTTTTGGAAGGAGATCTCCACAACTCCTGGGTGGTTTGAACCCCTAACCTTTCGGCTGATAGTGAAGTGGAATGAAATTTATTATTGATATACTTGAGGGCTAGTCATGTGACAGCCTTCCCTCCCCCTAAAATAGAGCACAGGGGCTACGCTTAAATGGGTGAAGTCAAAGCTGACATACCTGAGTTCCTATCAATAAAAAGGGGACATTGGGTGCGTATTCCTTAAGTTCTGGTACCCACTCCTCTTTCACGTTCTGAAACGAGGCTGGATTGACCACCGAGAAGCAGATAAGGAAGACATCAGTCATGGGGTAGGATAAAGGCCTCAGACGATCATAGTCCTCCTGGCAAGAGAGAAGCACATGATTTAGAGCAGACATTTCTTTTTTCTTCCCACTCCCTCCAGAGCTCCTTAGGCATCTGTGAAATTGCAAACAATTATCCTGTTCCATCAAAAAGGAAACAAAATACCAAACCAAACCTGCTGGTGGATTCTAGTCCAACTTCTGGTGACCCTACAGGACAGAGCAAAACTTAGGTCTCTAAGACATTCCATGGTTGTCAAGGCTTCCCACCTTCTACACCCTTTCCAGGACTTCCAAGTGTTTCCAAGACTTTCAAAGATGTTGACTCCTATCAGTTACCATATCGTGATGGGCAGAGAAAGGATTGAGACTGTTAACTTCATCTAACTTGAAGTCAGAATCAGTACACTTGGTTCCAGCAGTCAGGAGATCAGGAGGTGTTTTGCACTGGCAAAGTCTGTAATAAGGGACCTCTCCAAATCATTGAGGAGTGATGATGTCAATTTGAGGACAAAGGTGTATCTGATTCAGACCATGGTCTTTTTAGTCACTTGCTATGCTTCTGAGAGCTGGACAATGACTAAGGATGACAAGAAGAATGGATGCCTTAAAACTGTGGTGTTGGAGAAGAGTACGGAAGATCCCATGGAACCTTACGGGATCCCAACTTTGTCTCATACTTTGGGCATCTTGCTAGGAGAGGTTATTCCTTGGAGAGGGAATCACGTGTGGGAAGGTGGAGGGGCAGCAAAAGAAAGGAAGACCTTTGATCAGGTGAGGTGACACAGTGGTGAGAGCAGTGGACTTCAGTGCGTCAGATATTGTGAAGTGAGTCAGGATAGGACAGTGTTCAGATCTGCTGGTGGTTCATAGGGTCGCTGAGTCAAGCTTAATGGCACCTAACACCAGTGACATTGTAGGACAGAGCAGAACTGTCCCATAGGGTGTCCAAACCTTCTGTCTTTATGGAAGCAGACTGCCACAACTTACATGTTCAATATACTGAACAGATGAACACACTGAATAATGATGGGCATAGCAGATTACATGGTCAAAGAAGCACAGTCAGGAACCTTTCATGAGCTGAATATGTAGCACACCAGATAAAACAAGACAACCCTTTTTGGTTGCATTATTGTTCATTTTTAAATTCTGGATACCAGTGATGGGAGAAATAGAAAAGACCATTCTTTAAGAACTGTAAGGATACCTTGAGGAAATGCACAGTGGTTACTAAAACTGTCACTGGATACATTTTAAACTATTTGAGCTCTTTCCATAGTATTGATTATAGCCAAAGATTGTCTGAAGCATTATAATTTACAATAACACATACGAGAGGAGGTGCGGCTGGAGTGCACGTTGGAGGCAAGGACGGTGAAGCTCAGACTCACGTGCTGTGGGCATGTTGTCTGCTGGGCCAGTCCTTGGAAAAACACATCATGCTGGGAAAGGTGGAGGGTCAGAGAAAGAGAGGGAGACCCTCAACAAAGTGGACTGACAGTTTCTGCAGCAGTGAGCTCAAGTATGGTAGAGATTGTGAGGAAGGTGCCAGGTAGGGCAGGGTTCCCACCTGTTCTTATGTGTGTCGTTGTCAATTCGCACCGGATGACAAGAGAAACTGGCTATTGACTATGTATTGAGTATTTGTATATTCTTCCATATATTTATTAATTCTCCTAGTAACTATATGACATAAGTTTCTTTACTCTTACGTTCCATTTGAGTAAAGTAAGGCCCTGAAGTTAAATAACTTGCTAACGGATGAAGGGACAGTAGGCAGGGGAGCTGGGATTCAAATCCTGGCAGGTTTTAACCACTGGGCCCGTGCTACAACCACCACCTGAAAGATGCTGGCTTCATGCTGGTCCATGAAATCAACCAGCACAGGGTACCAGCATCACACTGCATGGACGCAGTCCCGGGCTCATGCACATGGTAAAGCACTTGAAGGATCTCCACAAGCCTGGCAGTTGCCATCCTTGAAGACCTGCTTATCTGTTTGTGAAAATGCAGCCACTGAAATCCTCTGGAACACACAGGGGGCCACCGTGAGCTGGAGCTGTCACGACATCAACTGATTTAGCAACACAGGAGAGACCGTCTGCGTACTGCTGTTAGCTGTTGGTGACCCAGCTCTGACTCCCAGTAACCCTACACACAAGGAAGAAATAGTGCTTCATGATCGCTGGTATGTTTGAGTCCACTGCTGGGTGGCTGTGTCCAACCCCAGGGAATCAGGGAATGCCCTCTCCCAGCCCCATTCCTGACAGCATTCGGTTGTCATCTGTGGGGGTTTTCATTGGCTTGTATGTGAAAGGAGAGCAACAGGCCTTTTTCCCAATTGGCCTTGGAAGCTTTGCTGAAACCTGTCCACCAGGGCTGGCCCTCCTGTCATCTGAAACACTGGCCACCTGGCTTCCAGCCTCATAACAACTTGCTCGCCACTACAGTTTGACAAACTAACAGATAGGTGACATACCACACACACACACACAGAGAGAAGAAATATTTTTTCCCCTCTGGAGTTGAAGATTAGTTGGGAAGGAATTCAAGATGTGTACTGCAACAGATGGTACCATCCAAGAATGGGAGAAACAAATGCTTAAGCTTGAACAGGGGAATGCAAAAATACTTAATCCAACAAGTATTTCTAAGGACTGTCAGCGTGCCACTGCCTTTTTTTTTAATACATCAGGTTGCCAACTAGACAGCAACTAACAACAATCTATGTGAAAATCTCAGAGAAGCGAAGGGATGAAAGGGGTCAGATAATAATGACTTTGTGATACACTTCAGAAGTTTCCAGAGCTCTCTTGGAAGATCTCTGGAGAAGGAGATGTCTGCATCTGTGAATGTCTGCAAAAATGCCGATCTTTGTAAAAATGAGGGCGTAAACTCATGCCACCCACAAAGTACTTTGAGACCTCAAAGCCACAACCCCAAAGAGAAGAACCCACAGTGCTAATAAAAGAACGGGTAAAAGGGTAACACACCAAGGCGGAAGAATGATGCGAGGTGGCAAATATACAATTAATTCCTAATGCACAGATGTAAGTGGCCAATAAGTCCATAAATCCCTTTCAGATTCCCTCCCACCCCTATGGCTTAAAAAAACCCCATCATACCCACAATTCTCCAGGGCAGGACACAGTACAGACCTCTTCCCTGGGATATTTTGTTACTCTAAAGACAGCACAGGTAGCCACAGTACTGAGAAAAAACTCATCTGATTTGTGAATCAGTTCTATTTCCTATTCTTAAATAAACAAAAGGCTACAGTATTTCTATGCTTTTCTTTGGGTGACTCTGCTTTAGGCCAACAATACCTGTCCCATACGTCTTAATTATTCCTCATTAGGAAGCACTGTATTACTTTTAAAGTCATTTCATTTAGAAGGATTGATCTTGACTTTAAAACAAGTCCACTACCTGCAGGTTTCTGTTAGTTTGGTTTTTTTTCCTTACTGCATATTTTTACTTTTAAAAAACAAGATTGGTAACCTTCTAACCTTCAGGATAAGCTGTCAAGTAAGTAATGTTCTCTACCATCTCTTGTATTTGATATTAAATTATATTGTGTCTTTTGGGTAGCAGGACAATTGACTAAACCATCAAAGCTCCAAATACTGTATATTTTGTAAGAGTTTGGCTTTACTTTAAAATCCTTAATTTGAAATATAAGCTAGAAAATTTAAAACAAACAAAAACTCAACAACCAAAAAACCTAATATTTCCATTTTGAATGTGAATCCTGAATTTTAAAAACACTTATTTAACTTTGTTCAAAGATTTTAGAAAAGAATGCTGATCAGAAGGGGAGGGGATGCAGAACAGAATTTCAAATAATCACAGATTCCAGACTGGCTGGAACTGGATGGGCTGAATGAACCCCTGAAACTATCGTCCCAAGATAATATTGTAAAATCTAACCAAAAACATTTCTTGAAGTCTTCTTGGAAGCAAATAATTAAGGTTAGCTTAACAAGTTGAAAACAAAACAAAACAAAAACCCAACCCAAAAGCAAAACTCCCTGGAGATATCTATCTGGGATCAAAGAGGCAACAGCAAATTGAAGTATTAGACAAGAGGCTCAGTGGGCAGTGAATAAGTGTTAATGGGAGATTAACTCAGAAAACAGAGATGAGAATATGCAACTCAGAGAATCTAGTCAATGTTGATGAATTGTACTTGTAAAAACTACCGACGCTAGGTTTTGCTGAATGAAATTAAAAAAATAAAACAACAGCCACACAATTGTTTAAAAATTTAATACTATGTTTTCTTCCTTTCATTGTGGTTGAGTTGCAACCAACTCATAGCTACCCCTCCAGAACCGACTCACAGCAGGTTTTCAGAGCCTGTAAATCACACAGGAGGAGACTGCCCACCTTCCTCCCATGCAGCAGCCGGTGGATTTGAACTGGCTACCTGTAGGGTGGCAAAACAGTTGCTTTCCCTATAGACCATATAAGAAACTCTGCTGTTAGGAAGTTCATGGTTAGGGAGAAAAGATATATGAACATTGTATTATAAGTAAAATGTGCTCAAAACCTAATGTTGTTCTTTGTTGTTGTTGTTGTTGTTATGTGCTGTCAAGTTGCCTGTGACTCATAGCAAACCTCTATACGAAAGCCCTAAACCCTGCCCTATCCTGTGCCAATCTTACTGTCTCCAACACACCTATCCCTATGACTCCAGTCACTGAATCAATCCATCCCATCGAGGGTCTTCCTCTCCTGCGCTGTCCCTCCATCCTTCCAAGCATGACATCCCTCACCAAGGACTGGTCCCTCCTTGCAACATGTCCAAAGTATGTCAGACTCCTTCAGAATCCTTGCCTCCAAGGAACAGCCTGGCGTCACCCTCTCCAGGATGAACTTGTTTGTTCTCCTAGCAGTCCGTAGTATATTTAATACTCTTCTCCAGCACCACAGCTCAAAGGCATCAATTCTCCTATCATCCCTAGTCATTGTCCAGCTCTCTGATGCATAGCAAGTAATTGCAAAAACCATGGCCTATATCAGGCGCACCTTAG